TTGTCTATTATCTTTATGAGAGTACATAGTGGGGTTGCTGTTCAAACACTTTATGGGGTTAGTGTTGTCTATTATCTTTATAAAAATACATAGTGGGGTTGCTGTCCAAACACTTTATGGGGTTAGTGTTGTCTATTATCTTTATGAGAGTACATAGTGGGGTTGCTGTTCAAACACTTTATGGGGTTAGTGTTGTCTATTATCTTTATGAGAGTACATAGTGGGGTTGCTGTCCAAACACTTTATGGGGTTAGTGTTGTCTATTATCTTTATGAGAGTACATAGTGGGGTTGCTGTCCAAACACTTTATGGGGTTAGTGTTGTCTATTATCTTTATGAGAGTACATAGTGGGGTTGTTGTCCAAACACTTTATGGGGTTAGTGTTGTCTTTTATCTTTATGAGTGTACATAGTGGGGTTGCTGTCCAAACACTTTATGGGGTTAGTGTTGTCTATTATTTTTATGATAGTACATAGTGGGGTTGCTGTCCAAACACTTTATGGGGTTAGTGTTGTCTATTATCTTTATGCGAGTACATAGTGGGGTTGTTGTCCAAACACATTATGGGGTTAGTGTTGTCTATTATCTTTATGAAAGTACATAGTGGGGTTGCTGTCCAAACACTTTATGGGGTTAGTGTTGTCTATTATCTTTATAAAAATACATAGTGGGGTTGCTGTCCAAACACTTTATGGGGTTAGTGTTGTCTATTATCTTTATGAGAGTACATAGTGGGGTTGCTGTTCAAACACTTTATGGGGTTAGTGTTGTCTATTATCTTTATGAGAGTACATAGTGGGGTTGCTGTCCAAACACTTTATGGGGTTAGTGTTGTCTATTATCTTTATGAGAGTACATAGTGGGGTTGTTGTCCAAACACTTTATGGGGTTAGTGTTGTCTATTATCTTTATAAGAGTACATAGTGGGGTTGTTGTCCAAACACTTTATGGGGTTAGTGTTGTCTTTTATCTTTATGAGTGTACATAGTGGGGTTGCTGTCCAAACACTTTATGGGGTTAGTGTTGTCTATTATTTTTATGATAGTACATAGTGGGGTTGCTGTCCAAACACTTTATGGGGTTAGTGTTGTCTTTTATCTTTATGCGAGTACATAGTGGGGTTGTTGTCCAAACACATTATGGGGTTAGTGTTGTCTATTATCTTTATGATAGTACATAGTGGGGTTGCTGTCCAAACACTTTATGGGGTTAGTGTTGTCTATTATCTTTATGAGAGTACATAGTGGGGTTGCTGTCCAAACACTTTATGGGGTTAGTGTTGTCTATTATCTTTATGAGAGTACATAGTGGGGTTGCTGTCCAAACACTTTATGGGGTTAGTGTTGTCTATTATCTTTATAAGAATACATAGTGGGGTTGTTGTCCAAACACTTAATGGGGTTAGTGTTGTCTGTTATCTTTATAAGAGTACACACTGGGGTTGTTTGTCTTATAATTTATGGGGTAAGTGTTGTCTGTTATTTCTATATAGCATAGTGGGGTTGTTTGTTTAACACTCTCTGGAATATCCTTGTCTATCATCTTTATGTGAAAACATGATGGGTTAATTTACTTTGATGCAACAGTTATCCTCAAATAAAACATTTTTTTGCATTGTTACCGCTAGGTAGTAGTTGAAAAAAGTTATTGCAATATCCGTTCTAAGTTCTTCAGATAAACAGTAACAATTTTAAGTACTTATAATTAGTTGCCCGTAAAGTTGACTTGATATTAAATAATTTATTTTTAACCCCACAAATATAGATCTTTAACCCCACAAATATAGATCTTTAACCCCACAAATATAGACCTTTAACCCCACAATATACCATTTGTTTGAATTCCTAATGAAACCTCTCAAGTCACCACTGTACTATTAATAACCCCACAAAGCAAAATTATAACCCCGCACCTTCCGTAAAATGCACAATGTACCTCTCAACTGTATAGCTGTCCGTCCGTCCTTCTGTAAACTTTTCACATTTTCAACTTCTTCTCAAGAACCACTGGGCCAATTTTAACCAAACTTGGTACAAAGCATCCTTGGGTGAAGGGGAATTTAAATTGTTAAAATCAAGGGCCAAGACCCCTTACAAGGGGAGATAATAAAGAAAATACAAAAATAGGGTGGGGTCATTAAAAAAATCTTTTTCTCAAGAACCACTGGGCCGGAAAAGCTGAAAGTTATGTGGTAGCATCTTGGGGTAGTGTAGATATTAAATTGTTAAAATCATGACCCCCGGGGGTAGGGCGGGGCCACAATAGAGAATCCAAGTTTTACATAGAAATTTATAGAACAAATCTTTAAAAATCTTCTTCTCAAGACGTACTCGACCAGGAAAGCTGAAACTTTTATGAAAGCATCCTTGGGTAGTGTAGATATCAAATTGATAATATCATGACCCCCGGGGTTAGGGCATGGCTGCAATAGGGAATGCAAGTTTTACATAGATATATATTGAACAAATCTTTAAAAATCTTCTTCTAAATAACCACTGGGCCTCAAAAGCTGAAACTTATATGGAAGCATCCCGGGGTAGTGTAGATATTAAATTGTTAAAATCAAGAACCCCGGGGTAGGGCGGGGCCACAATAGGAAATCCAAATTTTACATGGAAATATACAGAATAAATCTTTTAAAAATCTTCTTCTCAAGAACCACTTGGCCAGGAAAGCTGAAACTTAAGTGGAAGCATCCTTGGGTAGTGTAGATATTAAATTGTAAAAATCATGACCCCCGGGGATAGGGCGGGGCCACAATAGGGAATCCAAGTTTCACATAGAAATATATAGAACAAATCTTTAAAAATCTTCTTCTCAAGAACCACATGGCCAGAAAAGCTGAAACTTATGTGCAAGCATCCTTGGGTAGTGTAGATATTAAATTGTTAAAATCATGACCCCCGAGGTTAGGGCGGGGCCACAATAGGGAATCCAAGTTTTACATAGAAATATATAGAACAAATCTTTTAAAATCTTCTTCTCAATAACCACTTGGCCAGGAAAGCTGAAACTTATGTGGAAGCATCCTTGAGTGGTGTAGATATTAAATTCTTAAAATCATGACCCTCGGGCGTAGGGCGGGGCCACAATGGGGAATCCAAGTTTTACATAGAAATATATATAGAACAAATGTTTTAAAAAGATCTGCATCACCCAAGTTACTCAGATGAGCGATGTGGCCCATGGGCCTCTTGTTCTGCATTTAAATTTGGAATGCTTAATCTCACAAATTGAAGCAGGTGGTACGCTATCCAAAATAGGAGGCACCACTTGGCGAAGGGTCCGAGCATCTTTCCTTTTACCCTTTTGGTGATACAAGTGAATTAATCCTGGAAATTAAATCCCCAAGAACAAAACTGGCCTCCATGAAATTTAATGATTCCCAGGTTCTTCAAATTTCACCCTTCATTTTTAACTTGTTTAAGTCCCCTGTATAGTATGAAGATTTCATCCCTGTAAATTAATTTATCAATGAAATTGTAATTTTAACCAAGCTTTAGTCCATTAAAATGAATCCAGAATTAGACATACATGTACATCTATATCACTAGCTGCAGAACTGCAGCATTATGGTTTTATATATTTGTCTTTGACCATTATGCCACAGATCCCATAATGCAAACTTCTAGACACAATTTTTTGCGCACTGTTTTGGAGAATTTTAGCAATCTCCAGCATTGGTAAATCTTCTTCCTTTCCCTCCATAATTCTAGACACATTTTAAATAAATCTGAATGTTTTATCCTCCTTCCAACCTTTTTTAGTTGTCTCTACAAGCGATAAACTTGATTGAATGAGAATTTTCTGCAATCCCTTGGAGAATTTAAATCAAGTTAGTTTATCGCCTGTAGAAGTGACTATTAATGGTTGAGAGGAGGATAAAATATACAAATTAGTTTAGGAATGTGTCTGGAAGTAGAGGGGTAAAACTAAATGATTTACCAAAATTATAAATTGAATTTCTCCTTAACAGTTGACAAGAAATCTTGCACAGTAAATTGCATGGTCACCTGAATTTAGTCAATTGACCTTTTCCTATCTGTTTTTGTCTGTCGTCATATGTCGTGCGACGTTTGTAAACTTTTGAACATTTTTAGCTTCTTTTCTAAACTTACTGAACAAATTTCAACCAGATTTGGTATACAGCATCAATGAGTGAATGGAAACAAAAATTGTGAATTTCATAGCTGCTTCAAAACTTCAAAGTTAGATTTGTAGAAAGATGAACAATGTCGTATCAATTTTTTATGAACAAAGGGAAGTAACTCTTACTGACATTAAATTTTGAGGTTTTTCTTGAGTGAATTTGATTCTGTTATTTGTCTACTTCCTCGTTTACCAAATTGGAAACCATGGCAATGAAATGGCAAACGACACTTAAAAAGTGATGATTGTACAATTTATGGAAAGTGGACACAGGGCATCAGAAGTCTATAATTTCGAAATTTTTGAGCCACAGTCACAATTTCATATAAAGTTTCATTGTCACATTTACGATTTTAACAAACCCCTGCTGTAACGGTTGAAGAAACTTATAGCTATGAATGTCTGCTCTAATGCATGAGGCTTGGGGCAAAAATGTTTCATTTAAAAAAGAGACCATAGGGATTTGTGACATCTGATCCCATCTCTGATGTTTTTTTTATGAGGTAATTCTTTGTTTCGCTCCTGATTTGTTAGTCCGTTATTTATGCACTGAATTGACGACAGATAATCAGTCACGTGACCTGATCTGTAGTCATCTGATTCCCAATATTTGTTACTAATGTGAATAATTGGTCAAGTGGTGCGGGATTGAGAACAAAAATTAATAAATACATTCCCAATATTTGTTACTAATGTAAATAATTGGTCAAGTCGTGCGGGATTGAGAACAAAAATTGACAAATAGTCTTTATTTAACACCAATACCAACTGAGTACATCAGACAGTTACTTGTCTGTTTATTATACAAAAATCCATTACATGCATTTGAAAAAAAATATGTATATTCATTGCATAAAATATTCATTCTTAAAACAAGAAATTTTTTTTGCTTTGATGGAGGATAATGCTTGTAAGATTCAATATACAAATATTTTAATAATTTTCTTGGATTCATTGAATTTTGTTTGAATTCATCCACATAAGTCATGTGGAATAAAAAAAATAAAAGTGAGATCACTTAATTATGCCCAATACCTAACTTCCTTGTATATTTCAAGTGAAAAACATTATATATAAACACAAATAAACTGGCATACTTGTATTTAAATTCCTTTAATTAGATGAAACTCTATCCAAAGGTCACCTCTCTAAAAAGGTCACTTTTAATGTCTCCCGTAGGTGACTGCTTAATACAGGTTTGACTGTAAATTATGATAAGCAATAGTGCCTCTTTCATTTTATTATGGCTAGTGATTAGCTTTATAATACATGTAATAATAAAACAGACAGAAAAGAAAATATGAAATCAGAAGAAGATATGTAAATGATAAATCTCTATCAGGTGAACTCCTACAAATATTATCTGACATTTAATTAATTAAGGGAATCCATTGGTAAATTCTCTGTATTCTCATTTGTGTAGCTGTTTGTATTTTATGGAAGGGTTTTTGTCTGAGAGATTGTTGGTATGAGTATAGAGCAGCCTGGAGATTCCCTGTCACCTGTTGACAGATCCCCAGAATCTGCCACGATATGTCTCTGTAATCTAAAGGTATGAGCTGTCCCAGATCATAGTGAACTAGGGTCTGTAGATCATCTAGAGCTGTTTGTACTCTCATTGTGTCTACAAGTCTGTAGCACAAAATTTCAAGCATGTATAACAGTACCAAATGTGGGATGTATAATATAGACATGTGTCTCTGTAGAGCAGACTGTTGTTCCGGTATCAGTTCACTGATGTAATGGATTCCATTGTAAAGTATGATATCCCCTACAACAACCTGTCTTATCTTTGTAGACCAGGACTGTCCACCTACAGCCTCAATATACAGCGCTGTATCTACATTACCACTATACATCACATAAGGCTGTGCTAACTTGACCTTGATCATCTCTATAACAGATAAAGCTTTCACGTATCTAAGTGCCTTGTAATAATACATGGCTATGTACAGCATGTCAGTAATACAACCTAACTTGGCTGTTAATTTCAGCATGTGACAGGACATTTTGTCAGCTCTATAACTCAGTTTGTTTTCAGGTGTGTACGTTTCCATGTGAAATATAAAAGCAGTGTTCTGAAGGGCACTAGCAATCATGTTCTGTAGCGTAATGACCTGATACTGTGTCAGGAGGGATGAACCTATCATCTGTTCTATTGAATGTAGATATCTAATGTAGCTTTGTATGTTCAGTTTGCCTGATATTATGTTAAGAGGTAGTATTTCACGAAATAGATTTCTATCAAACTCAGCCTCAGAAATCAGAGTATGATCATTTGTACATATGGAGTTTCTGGGGTTATAGAGGACATCTATCATACAAGATCTGATGGAGGGACTATGTACCAGGAATGCTAAACCCTTTTCATACAACTCTGACATGCTTATAAATAATTGATGTTGTTTGACGCCATGAATTTTACTCAGAAACATGTTGTTGCCTGGAATGAAAAAGTTAGGACAGACTCCCTCATACACCCATTTGAGGATGAGTTTAAAACAGACCCAGAAACACCCCAGGAGATTTTGTGGACACCAGTGAGGAATTGTATTTTGTTGAATTACCCAAAAAACTGCCGTCTTCATGTGATAGGAACACAGTAATTTATCATCATCACCTACCCCATTGTTAATTATTTCTGTTAAGAACAATTTAAGTAAGCCGTAAGTTAAGAACTGACAGTGATTCATTACATACACAAGTTTTTGTTCTGCTAGGGAGAAAGAAATTCTCCATTCATGATCTTCATGTTTTCCTAGCTTATGTCCTATTGCTACAAAGTGACAACCATTTTTCACTATATCATGAACAACATGAGGCTGGGGCCATGAGTGACATCTGTCTATCCATGGAAAGGCAGAGGGAGGCCAAAGGTCACTGACAAAACAGTGGGCATGATCATGTTCTAGTCTTCCAATTGTTCCACTGGCACAGGGTCCATGTGGAGTGGGGTTATAAGGTATTGATAACGCAGATAAAGTGATCTGTCTGTATTTAGAACTAGATACATAATATTCATTATTCATTCTAACACACGCTCTATGGATTCTTCTGTCCATGCTTGTTGACAATAAATATAACAAAGTAAATCCATGTGGACTATCAGAACAGTCACAGAGGATCAGTGTTTGTCTGTGTGTGTTGTAATACTTTGACTGAGATAAATCCCAGATCACACGGTGATTATTTGGCCAGTACATAAAGTCTCTATCTGATCCTTTAAGTCTGAATCCTTCTCCATAACTTCCACTCACCATTGTACCTATCTTATCACTTTTTGGTAGGTGATTCATCACCATCTCCAATATGTCCACCACATCTCTCCTCATGGCCACCACTTGTGAGGTCCCAACTTTATGACAAAGCCCCACAAACACCGACTCTGATATGTGTTGTATGCCTTCAGTTCTGAGAATGATTAAAGTGTGATTTATATTCTTTTATAATAAAAGTTTCACTTTTGTAAATCTATAATGTACTCATCATAATTGATAAATTTTACATTCATAAATCATAAAATAAAAAATATTTCTTCAACTGTATCAGTTATTTTTCAACTCAACTAAATCATTCTTTTTTTTAAAGTGAAATTTGTAAGTAAAAGTGTCTAGGATATATGTTATGTTTTAAATTTAGTGGTTTAATTAAAAGTTAAAACCAATTTTACTGTCAACAAAATAAGCTGATTACACTGATTCAGATGATTTAGGAATTGTTTATAGAGTAATAAATACTTGTCATGAGAACTTACATTTGTGAGCTCCTAATGGAGTCCATTATCAGTGGCGTATATTCCTTTCTATTGATGAGACTAGTGTCAAGTCACAGATTTAAACTCAGGAGCTTCCTCAGAATAAGTATGGGGGGTCAAGCTCAGACACCGACGATTTTAACTTGACAAGTGAATATATAAATATTGTAGACGTATCTCAATTAACTCTGCTTAGGAAATATGGAAACTTTCTTACCAAATCAAATTCTGTCAAAATGTTCAATTTCCTACTTACTCAATATAGCTCAAGTTATCAATTTCGTTTCCTGTATGTATTATGGACACCTGTTGCTTTTGATGAAATTTTCTGATACAGACTTGAGATTAATGACACTTGAACTTTGGTTTAAATATTTCCTGCTATGGAATTAGTTTTGTCCTTACGCAAAAGTGTAGAATAAAAGGATAGGTGTCAAATTGTGGATTGCTGAGAATGGTTCTTATGTATGGTGGGGGCATAAAGTGTTAGTTATGTCCATCTTCTGTCCTTCCCCCGGCGTCACACTTTGCATTTAGCTCAGTTCAAAGCTCATGCCGTTTCAAAAGACTTTTTCATCAAACTTAATATGAAGTTAAATGTTGATGAGAGTCACTCAGGTGACCTATTGCTATCTGTTTTCGTCCATTGACATGTGTCACAACTTTATGTGCTGGCCAATGGATCAGCGGTTTTGGTTTTAGGGTGGGGCTCTATTGATTTTATAGTAAAAATGCTTTAATTCTTTGAAAATCTTCTTCACTCCTTCTGGGTATGAAATAAAATAACTTTGTACATAGTTATGATGAACAAGAGAGAGCCTCTACCAAAATTGTGGATATTATGGCCCTAGGGTCAGGGGTTCTGGTGTTAGGGCGGGGCTCTTTTGATAATATAGTGAAAATACATTGATTCTTTGAAAGTCTTTTCTGCTCTTGGGTATTAACTTTGTAAATAGTTATGATGAGCAAGAGTGTCTCTACCAAAATTGTGAATTTTATGGCCTGAGGTTCAGGGGTTCTGGTGTTAGGGTGGGGCTCTATTGATTATATAGTGAAATGGAAATATAAGAAATCACTGTCTTGTTAGTAGAGTATTCCAGGGACATCAACGATATCAGAAAGATGGGATAATTTATGTAAAGCGGGCTTCACCTATTTTGAGTTTTTCTCGTGAATCAATTTCTTTTGATGATGGTTTGAATTATGTAAATAATAGGAATGTGTTTCAAGAGGTTGGCTATAAATTGTTAAAACTACTGTCAATTATCAAATGGAGTGAGATTTTATATGAAAGGATTTACACTTTTTTACTTATTTCATGTGTAAGGATTTAGAGAAGAGAAAATGTTATAAGTTCATGTTCCAGGAAATTGATTTTTCTGTGGACACTGTCTTTAACAGAAAGTCAATGAATTTGAAATCAAATTCTTCATTTTAAAAATCTCCCCACATATACACATGATCTTAAAATTTATTCTTTTACATGTCTTAAACATTTCTTTGAATAAAGCCTGGTTTAATAAGAAGGTACAGTTTCAATACAAATTAACCCGATATTTCTTTAACATATGAAAGTGATATAAGATATCAAAATTCATTCTTTTTTAATCAAAGGAGTTCCCTGCAGTAAGAATATACAAGTCGTTTTTCTCATATGACCTCCTTAATTCTAATTGTGACGTCATTAACTAGTGCATTTTCTTTATTTTCTTAAAAAATTGCAGAAGTCATTAATTTTCAGTGGAATTTTCTTCAAGAAAACATACTCTGCCACCATCGCCCAGAAAGATTTTGAGATATGTGATTTTTCATAGCAGATCGCATAATATATCCAAAAATTAAAGTGTATGATGAGCAAGAGAATGCCTCTACCAAAATTATAGATTTGATGGCCCTAGGGTCAGGAGTTCTGGTGTTAGGGTGGGGCTCCTTTGCTTATAAAGTGAAAATGCATTATTTCTTTGTAAATCTTAATTTCTGCTCCTGGGTATTAACTTTGTGTATAGTTATGATGAGCAAGAGTGTCTCTACCAAAATTGTGAATTTTATGGTCTGAGGTTCAGGGGTTCTGGTGTTAGGTTGGGGCTCTATTGATTATATGGAAAAATGGAAATATAGGAATCACTTTATCAAAAAAATGATATGTAGTTAGAAATAAAAAGACCTCTATTATGATTTTTATTCTGGCATAACAGAAAAAATCTATACCAATTGACTACGTCTATAAAAATTCTGTAAAATTAAAAAAAAAAATAAAATAAAACATTCAGATTCAGATGAGAATCTAAGAATTTTTATTGTAGCCTCGTCCATAATGTCAGATGTTGACATTAACTATTTAAACACAGCTGTCCTGTCTCATCATAACTGATCTGTAGATCTCTACTACCAATTTAAGAGTAACACTTCAAGTGAAACATTTTTGTATAAATTTTTATATGGAAAGAAATACAAAGTCCTGTTTTTTTGCATTTAAATTTGGAATGCTTAATCTCACAATTTGAAGCATGTGGTACGTTATCCAATATAGGAGGTAAATCCTAACAAAGTACCACTTGGAGAACGCCGAAGGCATGAGCCTGCTAGGGGGAGGGGGGTCCGAGCATCTTTCCTTTTACCCTTTTGCAGATACAAGTGAATTAATCCTGGAAATTAAATCCCCCAAAACAAAACTGGCCTACATGAAATTTAATGATTCCCCGGTTTTTAAATTTCACCCTTCATATTTAACTTGTTTAAGTCCTCTATATAGTATGGAGATTTCATCCCTGTAAATCAATTTATCAACGAAATTGTAATTTTAACCAAGCTTTAGTCCACAATATAAAATGAATCCAGAATTAGACATAAAGTGGACCCTCATTTATCTGGACGCTTTGGTTCCCAGTCAATTTGTCCGGATATGTGAAGCATCCGGATATCTGAATCATCAGTTAAACAAGACAGAATAACATTTAAAAATTTTGTTTCGAAGAAAAATCGTCTGGATACTGAATCATCCCGATATCTGGCGTCTGGATATCTGAAGGTCCACTGTACATCACAGATATATATTGCAGAACTGCAGCATTATTGATTTATATATTTGTCTTTGACCATTATGCCACAGGTCCCATAATGCAAACTTTGAGGCAGAATTTTTTGCGCACTGTTTTGGAGAATTTTAGCAATCTCCAGCATTGGTTAATCTTCTTCCATTCCCTCCATAATCTAGAGACATTTTAAATAAATCTGTATGTTTTATACACCTCCCAACCCTTCTTAGTCGTCTCTACAAGCGATGAACTCAATTGAATAAGAATTTTCTGCAATCCCTTAGGCTTAGAGAATTCAAGTCAAGCTAGTTTATCACCTGTAGAGGTGACTATTAATGGTTCAGAGGAGGATAAAATATACAAATTAGTTTAAGAATGTGTCTAGAAGTAGAGGGGTAAAAACTTAATGATTTACCAAAATTAAAAATTGAAATTCCCCTAAACAGTTTGCAGGAAATCTTGCACAGTAAATTGCACATTTTTTGGTCACCTGAATTTAGTCAATTGACCTTTTGCTATCTGTTTTTGTCTGTCGTCATCTGTCGTGTGACGATAGTAAACTTTTGAACATTTTTAACTCCTTTTCTAGACTTACTGAATAAATTTCAACCAGATTTGGTATACAGCATCAATGGGTGAATGGAAACAAAAATTGTGATTTTCATAGCCGCTTCAAAACTTCAAAGTTAGATTGGTAGAACGATGAACATTGTCATATCGATTTTTTATGAGCAAAGAGAATTAACTCTTACTGACTTTAAATTTTCCAGAGTGAATTTGATTTTGTTATTACTCTTCTTCCTTGTTTACCAAATGTGAAACCATGGCAATGAAATGTCAGACGACACTAAAAAATGATCGTGCAATTGAAAGAAAGTGGATACAGGGCATGAGAAGTCTACAATTTCGAAATTTTTGAGCCACCGTCACAATTTCATATAAAGTTTCATTGTCACATTTACAATTATAACAAACCCCTGTTGAAGAAGAAACTTGTAGCTATATGAATGTCTGCTTTAATGCAAGAAGCTTAGGGTAAAAATGTTTCATTTAAAAAAGAGACCATAGTAATTTATGACACCTGGCGCATTTCTTTGATCAACTGAGAATACATATATACACATGTACATCTGACAGTGACTTGTCTGTTTATTATACAAAAATTCATGTAAATGCATTTTAAAAAATATATCTACAGAAGTTAATTTTACAAATCAAGTTTAGATAAAAAAAATATTTGATTGATTTTCAATATTTGATTGATCCCGTGGGTGACTGATAAATACAGGTTTGACTGTAAATTATGATAAACAATGGTGCCTTTTTCATTTTATTATAGACTAGTTATTACCTTTATAATACGTGTAATAAAACAGACAGAAAAGAAAATATTAAATCGGAAGAGGATATGTAAATGATAAATTCTATCAGGTGAACTCCTACAAATATCAACTGACATTTAATTAATTAATGGAATCCATTGACAAACTCTGTTTTCTCATGAGTGTAGCTCTTTGTATGTTGTGGTATGGTTCTTGTCTGAGAGATTGTTGGTATGAGTAAAGAGCAGCCTGGAGGTTCCCTGTCACCTGTTGACAGATCCCCAGAATCTGCCATGTTATGTCTCTGAACTCTAAAGGTCTGAGCTGCCCCTGATCATAGTGAACTAGGGTCTGTAGATCATCTAGAGCTGTTTGTGCTCGCATTGTGTCTACATGTCTGTAGCAAAAAAATCTCTAGCATGTATAACATGGTAAAGGGTGGTACAAATAATAAAGGCCTGCATCTCTGTAGAGCAGACTGTTGTTCTGGTATCAGTTCACTGATGTAATGGATTCTGACGTTAAGTGTGATATCCCCTGCTACAGCCTGTCTCATCTTTGTAGACCAGGACTGTCCCCCTACGGCCTCAGTATACATCTCTCTATCTACATTACCCATATAAATACCCATATTCATCACATAGGGCTGTGCTAACTTGACCTTGATCATCTCTATAACAGATAAAGCTTTGGTGTATCTAAGTGTCTTGTAATAATACATGGCTATGTACAACATGTCTGTAATACAACCAAACTTTGCTGTTAATTTCAGCATGTGACAGGACATTTTGTCAGCTCTATAACTCAGTTTGTTGTTGGGTGTGTACATTTCCATGTGAAACATAAAAGCAGTGTACTGAAGGGCCCTAGCGGTCATGTTCTGTAGCTTGAAGACTTGATACTGTGTCAGGAGGTGTGAACCTATCATCTGTTCTATTGTATGTAGACATCTAATGCAGATTTGTATGTCCAATTTCTCTTGTATTACGGAATGATGTTGTATTTCACAAAATATATTTCCATCAAACTCAGCCTCAGAAATCAGAGTATGATCATCTGTACAGATGGAGTTTCTGGGGTTATAGAGGACATCTATAATACAAGATCTAATGGAGGGACTATGTACCAGGAATGCTAAACCCTTTTCATACAACTCTGACAGTCTTATAAATAGCTGATTTTGTTTGACGCCATGAATTTTACTCAGAAACATGTTGTTGCCTGGAATGAAAAAGTTAGGACAGACCCCCTCATACACCCATTTGAGGATGAGTTTAAAACAGACCCAGAAACCCTTCAGGAGATTTTGCGGACACCAGTGAGGTATTGCATTTTGTTGAATCACCCAGAAAACTGCCGTCTTCATGTGATAGGAACACAGTAATTTATCATCATCACCTACCCCATTGTTAATTATTTCTGTTAAGATCAATTTAAGTAAGCCGTAGGTTAAGAATTGACAGTGATTCATTATATACACAAGTTTTTGTTCTGCTTGTGAGAAAGAAATTCTCCATTCATGATCTTCATGATTTCCTAGCTTATGTCCAATTGCTACAAAGTGACATCCATTTTTCACAATATCATCAACAACATGAGGTTGGGGCCATGAGTGACATCTGTCTATCCATGAGGAGGCAGAGGGAGGCCAAAAGTCACTGACAAAACAGTGGGCAGCATCATAATCTTGTGTTAAAAATGTTCCACTGGCACAGGGTCCATGTGGAGTTGGGTTATTAGAAGATAGTGAAAACTCAGATAAAAAGATCTGTCTGTGTTTAGAACTAGATATATAATATCTATTATTCATTCTAACACAAGCTCTCTGGATTTCTCTATAAATGCTTGGTGACAGTAAATATAACAAAGAAAATTCTGGTGGACTATCAGAACAGTCACAGAGGATCAGTGCTTGTCTGTGTGTGTTGTAATACTGAGACTGAGATAATTCCCAGATCACACGGACATTTTTTGGCCAGTACATAAAGTCTAGATCTGATCCTTTAAGTCTGAGTCCTTCTCTTTGACTTCCCATCACACTGATCTCATCACTTGTTGTCACTTGATTTCTCACCGTCACATCAATGTCCACCACATCTCTCCTCATGGCCACTAGTTGTGAGGTCCCCACTTTATGACACAGTCCCACAAACACTGACTCTGATACGCGTTGTATGACTTCAGTACTGAGAATTATTAAAGTGTGGTTTATATTCTTTTATAATAAAAGTTCCAATTTTGTAAATCTAAAATGTACTCATCATAATTGATAATTTTAACATTCTAAAATCATAAAATAAAAAATACTTCTTCAACTGTATCAGTTATTTTTCAACTCAACTAAATCATTCATTTTTTTTAAATAGTGAAATTTATAACTAAAAGTGTCTAGGATATATATTATGTTTTAAATTTAGTGATGTAAAAAGTTAAAACCAATTTTACTGTCAACAAATTACACTGATTCAGATGAATTAGGAATTGTTTTTAGAGTTATAAATTCTTGTAATTAAAACTTACATTTGTGAGCTTCTAATGGAGTCCATTTTCAGTGGTGTATATTCCTTTCTTCCGATTTAACCTTAAGGAGCTTCCTCTCGATAGGTATTGGGGGGTCAAGCTCACAGACACTGAGGATTTTAATTTGACAAGTGAATATAATACTGACGTATCTCAATTAACTCTGTGTAGGAAATATTGAAACTTTCTTACTAAATCAAATTCTGTCAAAATGTTGAATATCCTACTTACCCAATATAAGTTATCAATTTCGTTTCCTGCATGTATTATGGACACCTGTTGCTTTTGATGAAATTTTCTGATACAGACTTGAGATTAATAACACTTGAACTTTGGCTTAAGATATTTCCTGCTGTTGAATTAGTTTTGTCCTTAAGCAGAAGTGTAGCATAATAGTATAGGTATAAATTTGTGGATTGTTAAGAATGGTTTTTAGGTCCCACCGTGAATATTGCCCAGGCATATTATATTTGTAATGTCCGTCCTCTGTACTTCCATTATGCAGTTAGCTCAGTTCAAAGCTCAGATTGAAAAAAAGTATTTAAATATTTTCTTCAAACTTCATATGCTGTTACATGTATTGATGAGAGTCACTCAGGTGACCTATTACTATCCGTTTTCGTTGGTTGATGTGCATCACAACTTGATGTTTTGGCCCAGGGTTAGGGGTTTTGATTTTAGGTTGGGGCTCTATTGATTATATATAGTGAAAATGCATTAATTCTTTGAAAATCTCTGGTCCTAGGTATTAGATAAACCAACAGAGTATATATAGTTATGATAAGCAAGAGAATGCCTCTACCAAATTTATAGATTTGATGGCCCTAGGGTCAGGAGTTCTGGTGTTAGGGTGGGGCTCCTTTGCTTATATAGTGAAAATGCATTATTTCTTTGTAAATCTTCTTTTCTGCTCCTGGATATTAACTTTGTGCTTATTTAAGATGAGTAAGAGTGCCTCTACCAAAATTATGAAATTAATGGTCTTAGGTTCAGGGGTTCTGGTGTTAGGGTGGGGCTCTATTGATTATACGGAAAAATGGAAATATAGGAATCACTTTATCAAAAAAATGATATATAGTTAGAAATAAAAAGACCTCTATTTTGATTTTTATTCTGGTATAACAGGAAAAATCTACACCAATTGACTAGGTCTATGATAATTCTGTAAAATAAAAAAAAAAAAATAAAACCCCTAGATTCAGATGAGAATCTGTATTGTGGCCTCGTCCATAATGTCAGATGTTGACATTAGCTGTTTAAACACAGCTGTCCTGTCTCATCATAACTGATCTGTAGATCTCTACTTCCAATTTAAGAGTAACACTTCAAGTGAAACAACACTGGGGGATCCGGGTTAGAAAGGTCCTCAGAACCCCCTGTTTTTTGTCGTAAAAGGCGACTAAATGGGGCGGTCCTTCGGATGAGACCGTACGGCGAAAACCGAGGCCCCGTGTCACAACAGGTGTGACACGATAAAGATCCCTCCCTGCTTAAAGGCCCTGAGTGCCAAGCATAGGTCTAAGTTTGCAGCCCTTCACCGGCAATGGTGACGTCTCCATATCAGTGAAATATTCTGGAGTGGGACGTAAAATAGTATACAATCAATCAATCAATCAACTGAAACATTTTTATATATATTTTTATATGGAAAGAAATACAATGTCCCGTTTTTCTGCATTTAAATTTGGAATGCTTAATCTCACAATTTGAAGCAGGTGGTACGCTATCCAAAATAGGAGGTAAAGCCTAACAAAATACCACTTGGTGAACGCCGAAGGCATGAGCCTGCTAGGGGGGGGGGGGTCTGAGCATCTTTCCTTTTACCCTTTTGGAGATACAAGTGAATTAATCCTGGAAATTAAATCCACAAGAACAAAACTGGCCTCCATGAAATTTAATGATTCCCAGGTTCTTCAAATTTCACCCTTCATTTTTAACTTGTTTAAGTCCTCTATTTAGTATGAAGATTTCATTCCTGTAAATTAACGTATCAATGAAATTGTAATTTTAGCCAAGCTTTAGTCCACAATATAAAATGAATCCAGAATTAGACATACATCTTGATCACTAGCTGCAGAACTGTAGCGTTATGGTTTTATATAGTTGTTTTTAACCATTCCGCTACAGGTCCGGTAATGCAAACTATGGCGCACAATATTTTGTGCACTGTTTGGGAGAATTTCAGTAATCTCCAGCACTGGTAAATCTTCTTCCTTTCCCTCCATAATTCGACACATTTTAAATAAATCTGTATGTTTTATACACCTTTTTAGTCGTCTCTACAAGCGATAAACTCGATTGAATTAGAATTTTCTGCAATCCCTGAACGAATTAAAATCAAGCTAGTTTATCACCTGTAGAGGAAACTTTTTAGGGTTGAGAGGAGGATAAAATATACAAATTAGTTTAAGAATGTGTCTGGAAGTAGAGGGGTAAAAAATAAATGATTTACTTAAATTAGAAATTGAAACTCTCCTAAACAGTGGGCAAGAAATCTTGCACAGTAAATTGTACATTTTTGGTTACCTGAGTTTAGTCAAGTGGCCTATTCTTATCTGTTATCGTCTGCCGTTGTCTGTTGTACGTCGTTCTTTGAAAGGGGTTAACTTTTGAACATTTTTAGCTTCCAACTACTGAATATATTTCAAGCAAATTTGGTATACAGCATCAATGGGTTAATGGAAACAAATATTGTGAATTTCATAGCCGTTCAAAACTTGGTAGAAAGATGAACAAAGTTGTATTGATTTTTTATGAACAAAGGGAATTAACTCTTACTGACATTAAATTTTCTGGATTTTCTTGAGTGAATTTAATTTTGTTATTTGTCTACTTCCTTGTTTACCAAATAGGAAACCATGGCAATGTTAGACGACACTAAAAATGTGATCATACAATATAGAAAGTGGACAAAGGGCATCAGAAGTTTCAAAATGTTTAAAGATAAACAAGTCTGCAATTTCAAAATTTTGAAGCCACAGTCACAAATTCATATAAAGTTTCAAAGTGACATTTATGATCATAACAAACCCCTGCTGTTGATGAAACAGCTTAGGGTAGAAACTTTCATTTTAAAAAGACCACATAGTGGTTTATGGCACCTGATCCCATCTCTGATGTTTTGTAAAGTGGTAATTATTTGTTTTGCTCCTAATATGTTAGTCCATTATTCATACACTGAATTGACAACAGATAATCACATGACCTGCTCTGTAGTCAGCTGATTCCCAATATCTGTTACTAATGTAAATAACTGGTCAAGTGGTGCAGGATTGAGAACAAAAATGGATAAATACTGTTAAGTCTTTATTTAACACCAATATCATCTGAGTACATCTGACAGTTACCTGTCTGTTTAATTATACAAAAATCCATTATATGCATTTAAATGATATATATATATATATACACAAAAGTTTATTTTACAATTCAAGTTAAGATAGAAAAAAATATTTGATTGATTTTCTTCATTGCATAATATATTCATTCCTTACACAAGAGGAAAAATTGTTGCTTTGATGGGGGATAATGCTTTTACCTTGTAAGATTCTATATACAAATATTTTATAATTTTCTAGGATTCATTGAATT